AAGTCATTGCGCCTCTGCTGGTGCTAGGGGAGGTGCCTGCCTTGACATAGGATCCCGTCTGATCCCAGAACAGATTCAGGGCTGCAGCAAACTGGGAAAAAGGAAGGGGAAGGGCCAGGGATGTGGCCCAGTGGCACCTCACCTGGCTGGCAAGCGCAAGGTCCTGAGTTCAATTCCTGGCATGTGGGTGGGAGTGCCTACAATAGAACATTTGTGTGGTCATTGAAAAGAGGAGGAGAGGCCAGCATGGTGATCCGTACCTGTAAGTTCGAGGCCAGCCTTGGGCCTCATAGGAGACCCCATCTTAAAGCAGCCCAGAGGAGCAGGCACGTCTGAGCACCACACGCACGCGGTGAACACCACCATGAGGGCAGCAAGACTACACCTCCCTGAGGGAAAATCATTACACATTGCTAAACAGACCCTGTGCCAGCTCACTGTAGAGAAGCCATGCAGAATTGGCTCTGGAAAACCTGTGTGTCTGTCAGTACTCACAATGAGGACACCTTGAGGACACCTTGAAGTCAGCGCCTTTGACGTGGTGTGGTATTCAATTCCGTGTGTGATACCTGTGGGCTGTCTGCCCCATCAGCAGCCCCAGGAACCTCTGTCTCAGCTGCTTTGGACAAGAAGCTCTGATCTTTTTGAGACTTGCCCTGGGGCCATCAAGAAAATTGTGTGTGTAAAACGTAGCCAGTATGTTGTGGCACATGTATTCTCTACCTTTGGTGAGAATGAGCCACGCATTTACATTTGAGATAGTTTTACAAAGCAACAGAAAACAAAATAAGGACTTCTGTACCAAGACAGACCTAGGTCTTGACAGTCTGTAGCGATACATACCACAGAGTTAGCACTAGCTACTCCTGGGGAGAGGGAACAAAGGAGACTTTCCTTTTTATCCTACATACTCCTGTATTTCTGAATTTTTTTTTTTTTTTTACAATGAACACTTTTTTTTTAATGGTTTGAAATGCAGATATGTTAGGCAGACTGAGCCCACAGCCAGGCCTACCTGCTAAATTGGAATCTCAAGGGATGGGGCCTGGGTGACTGTTCAGATCTACAGAGATTTTTCTGACACACAGCCAAGGCAGTGAGCCACAGAGTACAATTATTATCTGAAAATGTGCTGTATTTTGAGGAAAGTGTATGCTTTCTATAAATCGCATCAAGAACTGAAGGTTGTAGGTAAAATGTACATAATCAATGACATGTCCCATGTTGACCTATTCTGTCTGCCTTGGATTTGGTGGTTCAGTTTTTATTTTGAGGGTGTGCTAGCACACTATTGTAGGGGTACAGGACTCCTGTGAAACTGCTCTGTAGAAAAAGGTAAAAATTTTCTTTTAAAAAAGATTATTCGAGGTGGAGGTTTAGCTCAGTGGTTCTGGTGCCTGCCTTGCAGGCACAAGGTTCCAAGTTTGATCCCCGGTACCAAAAAAAAAAAGAGTATTCACTTATTTATAATTTTAGTGTTTTTCTTTTTAACATTTTTATAAAACTATCTTTGATAGTTTCAAAAAAACAGTAAAACTTTATTTTCAAAAGATAATGGTATTTTTCAATGTGGAGATCCAAAAGTAGCTAGCAATTACTGACAGCATAGCTTAGCTTTTACAACTGTTCACAAATATCTGATATCTATTAATCAGTGGAATATATTATAGAGTTCCTGTCTGAATTGATGAAGTAAGAATTTTATAAATATTTTTTTCTGAAATAAAGATCCTTTTGGTTTATTATAATGGATAAAATTTTTGCATTGTAAAACTGTGTAGAAACTAATACCATGTACTACCTGATTTGAATATAAGATATAATTCAAAGCAGCTACTATTTCTCATTCCCTTATTCAAGAAATACCCTTCTAGATAAACTTGCCCACACGCTTAATGCAGGCTTCATCTTTCTTTGTTCTGTATTAATATGCATTTCCATGAAGTAGATGAAACTCAGTTCTTCAAATACAGCTATAAAACATTAGTTCATTTTACATTGCTTTGTACATTATTTGTCTTTTAAAATGCCATGTAATACTCATGCTGAATAAAGGCTGATTTACTGCAGTTCCACTAGTTTATTGAAAAATAAGTGAGTTTTGGTGCGGCTCTGCATGCCTGAGGCTTTCTGCATATAATTCACCTTACTGTCTTGAGCATGAATCTGAAGATCATAGACAGCCTTAATATTATTTCCATGTGCTTTTAAAGTTAATACAAACTAAGTCTATTTGAATACTAAATTGCATGAAATGTCTGTTTGCATATGGCTTATCTTATTTTCTTGGTTAATGGCAAAGATTGATCAAACACCCTATATTGGAAAATACTATTTTGGAATTCTTTCAAGGTAAAGTATATTATAAAATATTGAAGCATGTTTTGTTTTAAAATGGAGACGTTTAAAACCATTTGGATTTTAAATGCATAACTATTGTGTCACTGTGGTATTTTGTTCATTTTAGTGTCATATTTCTTCACCGATTTCATCCTCAGATAGTTCCCATGTGACTCCAGTTGTAGTCCAGTTAGCATGCTGCGTCACAGCGAGCATCCAGCGAACACAGTGGGGATGTACTGATGCAGTGACATGCAAACACTGCTGTGAAATAGAGGCTTCCTCCCAACCCGGAGGCTGACTCAGTCGGCAGGAGGGCCCAGGGCCACTGTCAGCCTAGCGGTGCCTTGGTCCACAGCAGAAAACAGTGCCTGTTGTTTGTGGGTGGACAGCTTGCAGAGCCCACCATTGGGTGGCAAGGGACAGCTGGGAGTACGAGGCCTCGTTCCACATGGGACATGCGTGCTTCTGTGCATGTCCTAATACGCACTGCCCATGGTGGGCAGGGCACTGGGTCTGGGTTGGACCTGGGAAGAGAGCCAGCTGGCCGACAGGAGAATGACTCTGCAGCACACACCGATGTTCACAGCCGTCTCCTGCCTGTCACCCTTCAGGATGTGTCTTTGCTTTCTGGGATTTCTTCACTGTTTATTTCACCCTGAGGTCCTCACATAAAATAGCGCGGCATCACATGGAGTGACTCTTCTTCCACAGGTGTGCCTCGGCTCAGGCTCCACCTTGCAGGGCTGGGCTCTGCTACCAGCTTGAGGTGTCCGGCCTGGTGCTGTCTGGAGTCCGAGCCCTGCGGCTCCCCCTTAACCTGTAAAATGACCTCCAGACCCCTCAGGTTCATGCAGAAATTCACAGGGAGAGTTGATGACTCAGCAGGCAGTCACTCCCTGGGAAGTGCCCGAGGACAGGCTGAGCCTTTGTGTCCCTTGTGCCGATTCTCACCAGTGCTGGGCAGTCTCCATAAAGGGTGTGCCAACCTGAGCAGCGGATCCTGCTTTGTAACTGTCCAGAGCCCCCTTCTGGACAGCTGATCACCCACCCCAGCTCACTGACTCCTGCCGCTGCCTACTGTCCTGTTTTCTAGTGAGTGGTCTTTTCTCCTGCCTTGCTTTGCATCTCTGGGCATTCCCCAAGCTTTCTTTCTTTCCTGGAACATTTCTTTGTGAGACAGTAAGGCAGCCTCTATGTGCCAGCCAGCCAGCCAGCCTTCAGAGCAGTCTTCTCATTTACAAAATCTCACTCTGAGTTTCCTCTTCATTGGCTTTTTGGATGCGGAAACTGTTTTCCTTGCATCGGAGCTAGAGCCCTAAAGTGCTTGTGGGGACTTACTTTCCAACTCTGTATCTGTTTCCTGAGTTCTAGCCTTAGCTTGAGAGGTCTTTTAGAATATGGTTGAGTTACATAGTTTCAAATTATAGTGGCCTATCCACGAGAAGAGACGTAGGCCAAGGTGAATGGTTTCATCAAAGACATGTATGAGCAAATACATGTGTATGTATCAAAATGTTCAGCTGAGAAGGGGAACGGGGCGGGGGAGGAACAAGAAAAAAGAAGAGAAGGAAAAACTGGAAACAAAGCTTTTATAAATAAGGAGGGGAAGAGGGGTCAGAGGGAGGGGAGGGAATGGGGAAAAACGAAGCAGGGTCTGTCATGTACAGGTGCAAGTTCCCTATGAGGAGTGTGATCATTGTGTGTATCTAAAATGTACCAGTAAATGTTTTGCTTAAAAAAAAAAGATTTAATTTTAAATATATCAAAACATCCAGAAATGATGGTGACATATTAAGGCTGACTTTGCCACTTTTCAAAAGGAGTGACATGTCAGTTTTCCATAATGAAAGTAAAGCACCCACCATTATTATAAGGGTAAAACTCCAGTATTGAGAGATATTTATGATTTTTAAAAAGCTTAAAGATTTGCAAGGCCTTTGAATTAAAATACAAACATTTCAAAATTTAAAAAAAAATTTTTTAAATAGAAAAACAATATTTTATGCAAGGATTCTAAATTATAAGCTGATAAATCTTTTACAGAGTAGGTCTTTAGTTCTCAAATAACCTTAGCTGGCATTTATTGAATTGCATGCTGCATGTCGGGCTGCTCTGAGTGAGTGTGTGTAGTCACACTGTCATACAGCAGGGGTGAGGTCTATGATACTAGTAAGTGGCAGAGCTAGGATTGCAGTCAGAGCTCACAGTCTTAACTCTGTCACTTTTCCACTCTCGAGCATTTTAACTTTTCATATCTTCTTGAAGCTACTGTGGATGTTTTTTTGTTTTGTTTTGTTTTTTTGGTACTGGGGATCGAACTCGGAACCTTGCACTTGCGAGGCAGGCCCTGGAACCACTGAGCTAAATCCCCGGCTGGATGTTTTTGTATTGCAACATCGGTGTGTATCAATTTCCTCAGGGTGGGCTGCAGATTCCTTAGATAGTGTACAAGTAGTACATTGTTTTTGAGACAGCTACTGAAAATGGAACTTAAGATGGTGATATCTCAAGGTTACAATTTTATTGTAAAACATTTTACTTGGAAACTTTAAGATATTTATCATATATAATATCTTGGAAGTGCATTTTCCCCTTGGGTTTCAGTTTGTAAAATATATCTGTGTTTACTCTTCCCTGTGTACCATTCTGCTACGTAGATTTCCCTGCTGAAGCAAAATCTGGAGATGCAGCTTTCCCAGTCTCAGACTTCCTTGCAGCAGCTGCAAGCCCAGTTTACCCAAGAACGCCAGCAACTTACACAGGAGCTTGAGGAGTTAGAGGAACAACATCAGCAAAGACATAAATCCTTGGAAGAAGCCCATGTCCTTGCATTTCAGACCATGGAAGAGGAAAAAGAAAAAGAACAAAGAGTGAGTTTCACTGGTACATGTAGGTGGGTTTTCCAGGGCATGGATCCCTGCAGCAGCCATGGCAATGAAATATGCACAGTGCTCACACACTACCTGGCAGATGAGCTGGACCGGCCACATTCTGTTTCTGGCCAGAATGCCAAGGCTAGTATACGCTCCAGTTTATTATATAGTCACGGTGGTCAAATTGAAGCAGTTAAATCTTTTAGCATGGTCCTACTAGTAAACTGCAACCGTTCTCGTCATTTAGGATTATTGGTGCTTAGAGTAGGCTTCAACCCAAATTTTAATGTATCTTTCATGTTGACTCTTAAAAGCAAAAGAAAGAAATGTATCCAGGGTATTTATATTTTTTATCCTAGATTTTTCCCTTTACATTCTTTTTATCCCCTATGTACAAAAATGTTCATAATGAAATGAGTTGAAGACATTTTTCAATAGTAGTATTTCCTTGGATAGAGCCCCAAAGGGTATATGAAAAGTAATGACACCAGAACTCAGTCACCAGAGAGTTAAACGAAATGATGTGTTACTGGGCGAATCATACTACCACGGTGGAGTCTCCACATGTCAGTTGCACAGTTCTGTATTAAAATGTTCATTTGACACAGTCTTAATCTCTTAACACTATCTTTTTCATTTTATTCCAAGGACTTTATTATAATTAGGGAAATGACTTGATAGAAGAATGGAGTTTTACCAACATTAATTTTCCCTACAATAGTGATTACTGATAAAGGTTGTTGTTTAGCCTTTCATTTGGGTACAGATAATATTTTAAGAAATGATATGTTTTTTGTTTTTTTGGTACCAGGGATCGAACTCAGGACCTTGTGCTTGGGAGGCAGGCGTTGGCACCACTGAGCTAAATCCCCAGCCCAAGAAATGAAATGTTTTAAAGAAATTATTAAAACAAAAAAGTCATGTTTTTAAAAAATTGTTCACTTGCTTATACAATAGGTTGTAGTCTGTGGACCTTGTCTAGAAAGTCAAAGGAGTTCCGTGGATTGAAAATTAGGCCTGATTAGAAAGAACCTCTTCATTGGGTAAAATTTATGAATTTAAAAGACATATGAGCTCTCACATCAGTACTTTAATTGTACACATTCAGTCTTTTATCATTTTACTGGAATCATTGTCCAGAGCCAATCAGAGCCTGCAGTCTGTCTTATCATTAGGTAGCCAAGCTGGGAACAACATTACCTGAACTATGTTGACAGAAGCCCATGCCTTCCTTTTCAGAAATAAAACACATTTAAAGCAGTGAGCTTAAGTAGCCAAAATACTATTTTTTCCACAAAGCATTTTGGGATAATGATTAAAGAAATACAATCCTAATTACAGATGGCATGTTTCTCAGAAATATTTTATTTCCTCGCAAATTATGGTAAACAACACAAAGCCTTCCTGGCACAGTTCAGTCTCCGCCTGAAATGCTCTGAGGTCAGCTCTGTTTCCCTGGCGTTGGCCTTGAGCTGTGCTGCTCTTAGTCTTAGCCACAGGTGGTCTGTGCTCTGTGTTTGTAAAGTGAATCACTTGAAAGCCTTTGTGTTTCAGCCATCTGTTCTCAGAGCTTTTGCTTCTTCACTCAAATACAGGAACAAAGAATTACCGTAGACAGCAGCCACAGAGTCAGTAAATATTCACCGAATACAAAGCCCTGGCGCCCTCGGCCTCCTCAGGAGACCTGTGCTTGGCGCTGCCCTGGCCCAAAGGAGCTTTTCATTAGTTCTCAGTGCTAGCAAATGACTTGATAACTGACCTCAGTTGAAAAGGTCATTTTTCCAATTCAAGTGAAATACACCGAGTCACTCTAGGAGGCTGAGGCAGGAGGATCAGTCAGTTCAGCAGTACAAAATAAAAATGAGTGGGGATGTAACTCAGTGCCAAGACCCTGGGTTTAATTTCCAGGACTGCAGAGTAAAACTAAGTATAAATATAGAGTTAAAGTGCTTTCATGGTGATCCATTGAGTCGCTAAACCGACTACTAGTTTATTCTGTAGTGATGAACATCTTGTATCTAATTTCCTTGAGAATGAACTTTTCAATGAACAGCTATGTTTACAAGCCGCATTCTGCCTTGTTTACGTTTCTCTCCTGTAACCTGGCAGAGCACTGAGCCTTTGTCTCCCATGCAGGCCCTTGAAAACCACTTAGAGCAGAAGCACTCTGCAGAGCTGCAGGCCCTGAAGGACGCGCACCGGGAGTCCATGGAGGGCTTCCGGGCAGAGATGGAGCAGGAGCTGCAGACTCTGCGCTTCGAGCTGGAAGACGAAGGGAAGGCCATGCTTGGTATTCTGAAAGGGCTGTCAGCTTGTTGTGTTTGTCTCCGCATTGTACCATTTAAAGTTCGACATCAGATCACAGTTGTGCCTTTACACATTGAACTGTCGGATGAATGCCCAGCACGTAGTGCATTGTGTCTGAAGCCACCAGACGCAGGAGCGAGGGCAGCACAGGGCAGTAGAATCCAGGCTGCTGCACGCTCTCTGCCCCCACTGATGCTTCATCTGTCCTCTGTGCCCACCCCAGAAGTCAGCCCTGTCCACCGGGCGGACTCCATAGAGCCATGGCCCCTAGGGGGCGTGGTCACGGTGGCTTTGCCCTGCTGCAAGCTTTTACTGTAGGAAAAAAGATCACGATTAGTCCTGCCTTTTGTTCCTGTATATTCGATATGGAATTTTTCCTAAGAGATGCTCCTTTCTGTAAAGAGATAAGTTGAGTTTTGAAGAAAAACTAGGTATATTGGAGGGTTTGGGTTTGGCTTCGGTTTTTAGTGTCATGTGGTAACTTTATTCCATCACCCTGTTTTGTTCCGGTTTGAGTATTCCAAATTCTCCTGATCCTTTCCATGTTGGTTTGTCACAGTTGAGCTCCTCTTTCCAAGGAGGAATTGGGAACAAAGTGCTAGGAATATTTGGGCCCTCGACGGAAAGGAAAGCCATGTGACGCTGATGTTGGTCTCAACTGTGGCCAAGAGCTCTGGGCGTCCCTGTGGTGCTGTCCCTCCCCAGAAAGTCACGTGCAGTGTGCACGTTGGTCAGAGACCTGCCCGTGCCTGGGAATATGCCGGAGGTGGCCGGGCCGGGGCAGGGGGCAAAGGACAAGCTGTGGCTGTGTCCCTGCCCAGGTGCTGCTGGGCACAGGCCTGTGTGGAATAGGGTGGGAGGGGAGACCCTCTCCACAGCCGAGGGCCGGAGGGAGAGGCTGGGACCGGAAGCACAGTGCAAAAACGGCCTAAGAGCTGTTTTGGATTTTTAAAACATCTGTTTCACCTTCTGGTAATTGTAGATTCACATGCAGTTTAGCTCAGTGGTTTTGCCGCCTGCTGCACAAGCGCAAGGACCTGAGTTCGATCCCCGGTACCAAAAAAAAAAAAGAAATAGTAGAGATTCCTTCACGTAGCTCACCCAGTGGGAGCCTGTTGTCAGCCTACCACACTATCATAGCTGTCTGCCCGCACTGATCCTGTCACGACAGCATTGCTATCACCCTGGAGACCCCTCTTGTCCCTTTATAGCCACATCTACTTCCCTCCCTTTTCCATCTGTAACCCCTGCCAGCCATTGGCCTGTGTCCTTCATTTTTGTTGGTCTTATGAATGAGGCTGCACTCCATCTAACCTTTAGAGACTGGCTTGTCCAGTCAGCAGTTCCTTGGAGTCTTCCTAGTTGTACGTACCAGCGATGTATTTCTCGTTATTGCCGAGTAGTATCCCATTGTCTTGACTTGGCTTCCAGTTTCTTGTCCTTCACCCATCGAAGGTCATCTGGGCTTTCAGTTTGGGCTGTTGCAGATAAAGCTGCTCTAAACACATGGGTACGTTTTTGTGTAAACTTGGCTTTTCATCTCTCTGGGAGCCTTGTCAGATGGTAGTTACATTTTCAGTTTCTTTAGAAGCTGCCAAACTGTTTTCCAGAGTGGCTGCACCCTTTTGTGTCCCCACTAGCACTGTATGGATGGCCCAGTTCCTCCTGTTCTCACTGGCGTGTGATGGGGTCACAGGAGCGGAGCCCTTCTCACAGGAGTATACTGGTATTTCAGGTGTGGTTTTAATGTGCATTTCCCTGGCGACTCATGGTGGTAAGCATTTGCCTTCTGTAGGCCTTCTCTCCTCACTGGATTGTTTGAGTTCGAGTGTTCTTACAGATTCCAGGACTGGTCCTTTGCCAGGACCCTTCAGGTCTCTGCTTTGACCTCATTCTACTGGAATTACTGTCCCGGGGTCAGTAACCAGTAACTCTTGGACTTTCAAATCCAAGCTGTTCTCGCTTGCTAGCTCTCACGTTGATTTCCCTGTGTGCAACACCCAGCCCTGCCTGGCTGACCCCTGGGTTTTCCTGGTAGTGCCTGTCCTCTCTGGACTCTCACTCTCCTTTACCCTTTCTTCTCTTTCCCAGTCCTGCTTCCGCATGCATCCATTAAGTATTGCTGTCGCCCAAGGTTCTGCCCCTGCCCCTGGTCTGTTTTTTAGTCTTTAGCCTCTTCCTTGTTGACTGGATGCACATCCTTGACTTTGACTGCCATTTATGTGCTAGAGATTCCAAATCTGTGTTTCTAGGCCAAACCTTTTCTCCTGTGATTAGGTTTGTGTTTCTCGCTGCATGTTAGACAAACATTCCGACTTACACTCTGCATCTCTGTACTCCCCTCTCTAGTTAGTGCTACCACTTTTGAGTTGCCCAAACAAGGAAGATGGAGGTCACTGCCATACCCGGTTGGCTGCTCTTTAAATATTGTTACGTTTATTTCCTCATCCTAGGCCCTCGGCATACGTGGTTCATGGTCCTGTCATTTGCCACTGGGATTACTGCCATAGCCTTCTGCTCCTCTCCCTTTCTGCCATTCGTCCTCCGAACATAGCCAGGATAAACTGTGCAGTTCCTAAATCTCACTGCACCACCCTGGGTAAGGCCCTCAGTGAGCCCGGTGGTGCCCATCAGTGCCTGGCTTGCTTCTCCTTAATACCTGGGGAGTAGACGGAGGCCCACGTGGAGGCCTCAGGAGCAGGCTAACCTGGCCACTGTAGGTACAGCATTTCTTCAGAGTCGCTGTGTTTTAGCTTTAAAATTTACAATCTGTATTTTACTTACTGATACCTCTATTCATATTAGTATTTGGCTTTCCCCAAATCTTCACGTAAAATCCCCTTTCGGAGGAAGACCATACGTATCCTCCACGTTCCTTTAGGGCTGCTGCCAGTCACACTCAAGCATGAGAGCCGGGGCAGAGAGTAAAGTGGAAGCCGCTAGTGCTCCCCATGGTCACACTGGCCCCGTTTTCTTTCCAGCAGCACCTGTGCCCTGCGGCCCCCGGCCTCCCTCCCAGACTGCCAGCCGACCAGGCTCTCTGCGCTCTTCGTGTTACCCCGTCTTGACGGTGCTCCTCTCTCTCTCCACTTGAAGTGCCCCAGCTCGGTATTCTGCTCTTTCCCACTGAGTTACCGTGACTGTCTCTTAGCGATAGTGTCCCCGCTTTGGGTCTCCTCGGGAATGCGGCTGTTCCCACCACTGTGATTGCATTGTGCCTAATATTCATCGCTGATCGCCCGCTTCAGTTTCGGGCATAATGTATTCCACTCTAGCTTGTGCGGTGATAAGGGCAGGTTCATCATTCTTCCTCTCTTAGAGGAGGGCCTGGGATTCCATGAATGGTCGTGGGTTGTGTGAAACAGCCCATTCCACACGCAGCTGGAAGGGATGACTTTACCAGCCAGTGTCGGCGTCTTCCAGGATGTGAGGGAAGAATTCTTACTTGCATGGGAAATTCTTCAACATTTGCTAATGTACCATTCATCTCTAAAATTTTATTCTTGTAATAGTGAAGAGAAGAGCTAATAGCGTTTCATCTCCACTCCCACTTAATTTTTAACCTGAAAGCATATATAACAATACCTTGATCACTTAAGGACTTGAAAAGTTTCTTTATCAAAGCTAGATGAGCCTCAGATTCATGAGGCGTCTACCCATTCATGACAGTTTGTGATAGTCTGGTAATAATGTAGTGCACATATACAAGTGTCCTAATTTTAAAATTAATGTATGACTTACAGTTATACGCATTGTCAATATTTGTTGGATCTGCTGACCTTTTCCTTTGCATCCCAGCTTCCTTACGCTCAGAACTTAACCGTGAGCACGCAGCTGCAGTGGACTTGTTACGGCATAACCACCACCAGGAGCTAGCAGCTGCCGAGATGGAGTTGGACAGGAGCGTGGACATTGGCAGAAGACAGGTAAAGGCCCAAACGCTCAGTTTCCTGAAAACCACTTACTGCTGTTGTTTTCAGTAGCTGTTGTTTACTGTGTGGTGAAGAGTTTTATTTTTCCATGGAAATAAGTCATTCTGCTTTAGTATACTAGTCATGAAACTACATTTTTTTACTTATGACCCTTTAAATGAATGCTGTGAGTTTCATGTGCATCTCGGGAATGTGCTCATCACATGAAGCGTGCGGACAGCCCTGGCCCACAGAGCCACCCTGCTGCTGCGGTCCCGTCCTGTGTCTGTGCTGTGCACTGTACCGGTCACAGCCACGTAGGCCAGGTGTGTTCAGCATGGCCGAGAAGAGGCATCGTTAGTTTTGTTTAATTTTAGTAAATTTAAACATGAGCTTAAACAGGCATTTTGAATAGCACAGGGCTAGAAGGAGTAGACCCCTCCAGGAGAAACACGATCACGTATATTTCTATTGCATTCCAGCCCAACTGCTGTTCGTACTTCTAAAACCTTGCTCGTTGGTTCAGTATGTTTCTCTTTGTTTGTGATCTTGAAAGTGTGCACATTTGGAAAGATGGGTTTTCAGCACTGTGAAACGAAAGCCGTTAGTGTTAGCGTATTGGACCTAAGACTTGACTTTGCTAATCTCTGCTTGTGTTCAATGACCGGCCCACATTTTCTTCTCATTGCTGGGAGGTTTTCTGCTCACGGTGAGGCTCTCCTTCACATGTCTCGCGCCGGGCAGCTCCAGTTTAAATTGGGTCATTCCCACAGCCTTGCACTGCTGGTGACACATGCATGACTGTCCCATGGTGTGGCTGGCATCGCTTCTCAGGGGTCTTGGATTCTTGGATTACAGTAATGCAAAGAAAGACATTGAGTTAGCAGATCTGATGTCATCATTACAGTTCCTTAAAAATTATAATACAGCAGGGCCAGGGATTTAGCTCAGTAGTTTCTCTGCCTGCCTCGAAAGCGCAAGGCCCTGAGTTTGATCCCTGGTACCCCCCAAAAAATTATAATACAGTGAATATGTAGTACAGCAGTTATAAATGCATATTTTTTAAATTTTATTTTTATTTATTTATTGTTTTTCCACCACCGGGGATCGAACTCAGGACCTTGCACTTGTGAGGCAGGTGCAGCACCCCTGAGCTAAATCCCTGGCCCTGTAAATTGCATATTATGTACACTAGCAGTGGGATACTTGTAAGATTTCCATGGTAAAATTTAGAGAATTAATTATCGGTAGACTATTTATAAATAAATTTGTTAACTTAATGAAATAAATTTGTTGATTATTGTGATAATTTTTAACTGGTATGAATAGTGTTAATTTGTATTTGGGCAGTAATTAATCAGATTCAAGCAACTAACTAGATTCAGTCCATGGATAGACTTGTTATTAATTTTATTAGTAAAAGGGCTTGATAAAGGTGATTAGACCTGGTGGTACCACTGGGGGTCCGAGCGGGACAGTCGCGCATGCACCACCTGTGGTTCAAGCGGCAGGAACGCGTTAAAGGAACCACCTTGTGACAAGGGAGGAAAGTTCTGTACAGTCAGCCGGGTCTGCACAGAAGTTGGCAGTGTGTAGGCTTCAGAGCTTTGTGAAGGGGAGGGAACTGACCTGTAGGGTTGCTGTTAGACTAGCGCTAGGCAGGCAGAGTCTGCTTTCTACAGAGCCATGGAAATGTGGGTGTGGTCCTCTCAGAGTAGAGGCCAGCGGGGGCGAGTCCACCGCAGGATGGTGGGGCACGTCCAGTACTAAGAAGGGGCCGTGCCCTGACCTCTGCTCGGACACTAAGTACAGGTGACCCTGGACAAGTCAGCCCTTAGGTGTCGTTTCCCATTTGTAAATGAAGGAGGCGTGCTTCTCTGATCTCTTGGGACCCTTGCAGCCCTGGCATTATTTTAAACTACATCCATGTAAATGTTTCTCAGGTACCTGGAAAGAAAAGAGTCGAGCAGTTCGCTTTTGCAGCAGCGCCAGCATGACTGCATCTGACGCTCCAGAATGTGGTGTTCTTTTCCCTCAGATAACACAGGAAGCCAGCATGTAGAAAACTCACGTGTGTCTTACAGAGCAAGGAGCATATGTGTAGAATAACAGATCTGCAAGAGGAGTTACGGCTCAGAGAGCACCACATCTCCGACCTGGACAAGGAGGTACAGCACCTTCATGAGAACATAAGCGCCCTCACCAAAGAGTTGGAATTTAAGGGGAAAGAAATCCTGAGGATACGAAGTGAATCTAACCAGCAGATGAGGTACGCCGATCTGGGCAGCACGGGGGAGGATGTCCTAGAGGGATTTAGCGCTGTGCACCTCTTCTGCGACCAGACTGTCATCCAAGCGAGACAGTCAGGGTCACTGTCTACTAAATTTGGTGACTGAATCACAACCCAGAACATAGACGGAGCATTTGTATGTTGAATGATGTGTATGCATTATTAACTTTAGACCCTGTACCTGATTAAAGTCTTTAAAGAATATTACTAGAAAAAGCATTAAAGGAGATAAATTTAAGCTAGAATATTGTAGCAAAGTAAGTCGCTTAGTTTAGGGTGTTTACATTAATTTTCCATATATTTTACTCAAAAGAGCATTTCAAATCTGGTAGAATATAGAAAATTTTGAAAACTTGACTCCAGAATAACGTTTTCTTAACTACAAATAAATTAAACAGGTTGCATGAACAAGATTTAAACAAGAGGCTTGAAAAAGAGCTGGATGTCATGACAGCAGACCACCTCAGAGAGAAAAATATCATGCGGGCGGATTTTAATAAGACTAATGAGCTCCTCAAGGAAATAAATGCAGCTTTACAAGTGTCGTAAGTCATGTTATGTTAAAGAAAATTCATATGTGGATGATAAACTAAGGAGCACTGGGTCTAAACTCTACTGTTTCGAATCCAATAAAAGTGATATTTGAAAAGAAATTTAATATCTGCATTACAGATGGTAATTGCAGTGTGATGTGTTCTTTAATTAGGGTCGGCAGTTGAAGGGTTATTCATCAGCTGCTGTTGCAGCATTCCTGCCTGCCTCTGTGGTACCTTCACGGCACAGTGACACCTCGGAATATGTCCACTGTATAGTGTTAAGTAAAAAGAGCACATTGTGAGCAATGGAAATACTGTAATCCCGTGCACATACTGCACTAAGAATACATGCTTCACAGAAGGCTCAAAATATCCTTAAAAACAAATGCAAATGACAGACATTCCCTTTGGGGAGTGGATTAGGAGGTATTGGGGTGGGAAAGAACAAAGATTTTATTTTATATACTCAGGTATTGCTTGAATTCCTACAAGCATTTGTTTTATGATTTTTAAATCTATAATGGAAAATCATTACAGATGAAGTTATTACTCATAGGAACTCTAATATTGTTTTAAAATCAAAATTTCTAATTAATATTTAGTATTCCTTAAAAATATTTAATAGCTCTCTCTTTCCTGGATACTCACAAGATGTTATTGCCATAGGAACTTGGGTTCAGTCCATCTCTGTGGCCTAAACCCTGCTCCAAATTGGTTTACCTTAGTCTACGGGCTGCCAGTGCCTTGTTCACCTTTAGTCTCTCGTCTGCCTGTCAGTTGTCCACAGGCTTCTGTAAAGTCACAGTGACTGCCTCGTCCTGTTACCCTGAGTGTCTCACTGAGACTCTGCTCCAGCAGGTCTCACTCTGCCTCCAGTGTTACTCCAGATTTCCTGCCTGAGTCTCAGCTGTGTCCTCTTAGTTCATCTATGTAACTCTCAGTCTGTGAGTGAATATTTTTACCTATGTAGGCGCAGGTGCAGGCGCAAACACACTCACACATGCTCACGTGCGTGTGCACACACCCAGCCAAAATGGGAAGCACTCAGAGTCACTGGCCTGTTCTCGCAGGCCCTCCAGGTGGGCGGCTTGATGGGTGTGGTCAGGGCCTCCCCACCACTTGGGACTCCCTACCACACTGACCATTCTGTGGAGCAGCCCTGCAAAGGGTCGAGACTCATGCTACATTTTCCTTTTTTAAAAAATTTAAAATTTAAGGAATCTAATTTGAGTGAAATTATAGTAAAGAAAGGAAATTGCAAAGTAGTCCTCTGCACTCTCTTAATATTTCACGGCATTCTGGTTTGTTTGTTGGTTTTTTTTACATTGTCCTGATCACAGTGAGCTTGATGTTTGCTGTTCTTAGAGGAATTTTTGAATGATTCCGAGCCACAGTGGAGCTCAGGTATCTCACTGTAGAAGAGCTTCTAACGTCATGCAGTCCATTTGCAGAAATGAGGTCCAGGAGACAGACCCCAGCGCCTTGGGTGTTGCTTTCCCCAGCCTTGGTACTCATCAAGGAGAGGTGGAAATCCTGGCACCCTCTTCCCACTCAGAAACATGCTCATAAGTCAGTGACCTCTGTGTGTCCCTGTGTTTGTCTCCTTAGGAATGCTAGTTTGGCCAAAGAAAAAGTTGTGTTTGTTTTTGCTTTTCTTCTTTTTTACATGGTTTTGTACATTATGAATTTTCAGTAGACAGTGATACTTAGTTTTTCTATATTATGATCTTTTAATAACTGAAGAATTTGTGTTACTGATAAGATATTTTACCTGCTGTCCTATACCTGTCGTTCATTTTCTACGTTGCCTGGGGTCCATGTTAAACAACGTATTCCTTTTTTCACCAGAAACTTGCTGTGGGGATATAATCAGCCTCCAGCTTCAGGTCACGCACAGACTGGTTTCTTTCTGAGCAGCACTTTTCTGAGGCAGTGAGTGTTTAGTGTCTGCTCTGTGCAGGAAATGGGCGCTCAGCTGCAGATGGCTCCGGAGCACCCAGCTGTACGGGTGTGACCGCAGGGCCGAGTTTTATCTTCTGGCATTAAGAACAGTATTTGTCTCTAAGTGCAGCCTGCCTGTGCTGCCAAGTGATGGGCTCAGGCAGAGTCCTGTCCAGCGGTGGAGTGGGGCAGACTGTCCCTGCCACGCCAGCCTGCTCCAGAGGCTTTAAAGCTGCACACTCAGAAAACACCGGTGGCTTCTCAGTGGGGTTGAAGGAGGCACCGCGGGCATCCGCCTGCTGGGCCTGAGCAGGTGCCGAGGGACCTGAGCAGCCCAAAGCACCTTCCTTCTGCTGTGCTGCTGCAACAGCCCCCGGAAGGGGCAGCGCATCGGACACAAGGTGCCGAGCTCTGCTCTTGCAGGATGAGTTAGGGATCCTCCTGGCCAAAGCTGGCTTTTAAAGCCCTCCCAGATTTTCAGACAGTTTGGTAGAAACTTTATTTTCTCAGTATATATTATATCTTTGTAAGGGTCCTGTATCTAATAGGAATGCCGTGGTTTATGTTCTTTTTAAAATAAATGGGAGAACTGGCTGTTTGATTTTATCTCAGTGATGTATTCTGTAGGTAAGGAGAGTGTAAGCTGAATGGAAGCACTAGAACCTGGGTTCATGACACATCTTACACATCTGTATCACACAATGATTCAGAGATTATTACTGATTGTTTGGGTTTACTTTACATTAATTTATCACTGTTGTGGAACATAAAGATTATTTGTTGATGAGAGAAATTTTGATTCCGTATGTAGACTTTAAATAGGTTAATCATATCTAACTGAAAAGCACTCCATACACCAGAATTCCTCACTCTTAAAGGGTTGACTCTTTGTCCATAATACCTCAAGAACTGTCATTGTCATTTGACTTTTAATTCACCATGCAGGTAATTTCCATAAATTTTTCAGGGAGAGAGGTCAGTCCTATTGTCCCAACTCAGAGTCCGTGCTATGAATTTACAGGAAAAGCCCAATGTCAAAGTAGTTCAGTCCTGTATTTAAGACCACAGAGAAAGTTGAGTTCTTTCATCTTCGTACAACTAAAGTTCTAAATTTCACATGTGTTTAAATATACAGTTGTTTGGTTCTAAAACGTCAACTCACTGATTTTTTGGTCATTTTTTAATTTGCTTATTTTCTAAAACAACATGGGAGGGCCATCCCTTGGAAAACTGCAATTTTGGACAGTTTTTCAGACATTTGTGTTTTAGATTTGTCTTTTTCATGAACTACAGACATTGACCTATGTATTTTCAGACCAAAAGTAAAAAAGATGGTATGCGTGCCTGGTGAGACTCCAACTGGGACCCTAGCTAGTAGTTTTATGTGTTCTGCTTCTCCTTTTTATCCTGTCTCTGTATGACTTGATAGGGATTAGTATTTTTAGTAACTGGCTGTATGCACTCATGGGTCCCTCATGGATGTGTTTCCCAGCTGAAACCATCCAGATATAAACTCTGGGAGTGTGGTCATTTCTGGCTACCTACAATAGTACTTTCTTAATATTTTTAATGGACTCATTTCTACTTTAAAATTTAATAGGAAAAATTGCTATCACTGCAATAAAACTATCACGACAGTTGAAAACATTTTTGGGCAGGGAATATAGCTCAGTGGCCAAGCACGAGGTCCCTGAGTTCAATCCCCAGTACTGAAAAAAAAAGAAAACGTTTTCCTTACTCTGAATGAAAGCTGAGCTATAATAGTGTGGATGTAAATTTCATGAAAATAAAACGTGTTGTTGGCTCCTAGCTGGCACAGATGCTCGGGGTCTGCCTGCAAGCCATGAAATGGGATGAACAGCGTGTTATGGAGACCCTTTATGGTGCACGGAACCAGATAGATGGTCCCCTCCTTGTGATCAGAAAGACTACAGGAGAGCAAACCTAGGCTTGTCTGGGCACCGGCCATTCCTGCCTGGTCTCTGAGCAGTGATGGTGACTGAGGGAGGGAGTGTCCACTAGTGCTGGCCTGAGTGGGTATCGGAATAGCAGCAGGTTTTCTTCCTGTGACACTTCTGAAAGCCTGGTAATTCTCAAAGTATATTTACAAGTTAAATTTATATCATGTTACTTGTTCTCTCCTTTAATGCTTTCCTATTTATATTTATGAAAATTATGTCTCTTAATTTTCCTCTTTAATAAGCAGGTATCTTTTTTACTAAATTGGTAGTGTAAAGATATTTTGTGGTGAGAATTAACTTGAGAATAATTTTGTAGGTAAAGAATGCTTATGCTAAATAAAAATATATTAGAGCTTGCATTCAGGGCAGAATAAAGGAGTTTCAAAAACTGTAAATGATTGTTTAAGACTCACTGTATCTTAACTTCTCCTTGTGCTAGGACAAGAAATAATAGTTTTTGTTTTGTTTTGTTTTTTGTGGGGGGTGGGTACCGGGGATCGAACTTGGACCCTTGCGCTTGCCCAGCAGGCGGCGAAACTGAGCTAAATCGCTGGCCCAAGAAATAATAGTTTTAAATAAAGCTTTGATTTAGTTTTTTGGCTGCCACTTAGGCCACATTTCTTGCTCAGCTGCAAGAAGCAGCCCAAGAATCTTATACCTTGCTTGTAATGGTAAAAGAAATACAGTACTCCAGTGGCATCTGGTGGCTGCTCAGCGTCAAGCCAGATGCCTTTTTCCTGGACTAGGGAGTGTTTCTCAGCCTTCTTAAACCCTTTGCCCATGAAAACACTGGAGTAAACCCGTCCATGTTGTGATAAAATACAGGCTCACTTTCTGTGAGCTCACAGCTGCATGTTATTTCGCAGCCTGCATTGTCACTGAAGAGCAAAATAAAGGCCATGAAACAAAGTTCTGCAGACCCCGAGGTAGCTGGTTCCTAAGCCCACACTTCTGTCACCTGAGCCCACGCACAGCAGGCTGGGACTTCAGTGGGGGCCGAGGCAGGGCGCCAGAAAGGCTCTCTGCAGATCTGTGGCTTGGACTGAGTCAGTGGAGGGCTTTTACAGTCTCTAAGATGCAGAGTCCAGGACCCTTCTGAGGCCCAGGGCACAGGTACCGGGTGGGTCACTGACTTCTAGAAGGCAGGGCATCATGAAGTCACGCAGTGTTTGTTGAGTGAATACATTTTTTTCTGTGAATCTTCATCAACCACAATTTTATTAAACTTAAATTCTGTCCTTTATATTCTGAAAATAATACACATTTTACTTGTTCTCATTACTTTACAATTATGTTTTAAAACTGTAAGCAGCCTTTTCCTAAACCGAGCCAGCAGCTTCCATTTCCTTCTATTCACTCCGCCCTGCCCTGACTCTGTAGGGTCTGTCCTCAAAGTCCCTGCTGTGCCAGTCTTCAGTGCGTTCAGTCCTTTCATGCAGGGAGGTGTCGGCTTGCAAGAAGTGTAACACGTCTCCCCCTGCTGAGCCGGTTTTCGAGTATGCGTCCCAGAAGACAGGAAAGAATGGTGGCCTGCAAGCGTCTCTCCGCCCCTCCTCGTCCCGTATGCCGAGTCCGTGGCCTCACAGAGCCGTGTGTTCGAGGCCCCGCTCCTGACAGCGAGCTGCGCCAGCGCCAGGCCTGTGTGCGTCAGCGGGGCTCCCAAGGCGAGCCTGTCGACATGTCAGAGTTCTATGGGGAAAGCTTTGTTTTAAATTGTGCGCATGTTTAACAGGACAAATTGGAAAACGTAGATATTACAAAAGAATGTGTCCGTGTCATATCAATAAGCTGAAGGTTTTCTTGTTTTTAGACTAGAAGAAATGGAAGAAAAATATCTAAAGAGAGAATCGAAACCGGAAGATATACAGATGATTGCAGAATTAAGAGCCATGCTTACAGAAAGAGACCAGGTCATAAAGAAACTAATTGTAAGATATTTTGGTTTTGGTATAACCATGCTAACAGTCAGTAGACAGTTGGTTGGGAACATATTTTAAGTAGTGTTAAATGCAAATAGAAAGTACCAAATATGTGGATTATGATAGATTATTAAAATGTTTATGAATGAGGAGAAGTATAATTTTTAAAATTTAAATTTGACATTAGGACAAGGGAATTATGCCTTTTTCTTAGTATTTTTTAAAAAATCTTTTTGACATATAGAATGTTTATAGTAAGACCTCGGCGCTGACCAACTAATACTGTTGAATTGGGAAGAGCGGTGGACACACCTGTGCAGTAGCCTGCACCCTGCCCTTCCCGGTCGGGCACATTCATTTCCTAGCCACCCTGGACACAGGAAGTGCTCTTCAGCCTCCTGGGGGTGGGGGTGAGGGCCTGGGTGTTCTGAGAGGGCTCTGAGGAGTCTGTCAGGAGTGAAATGCAGATTTAACCCTATGGACTGCCTTCACCAAGCCATTATTCCTTAAGACTAAAAAATGACTATTTTAAAATTCACAAAACATTTCAGTCTTCTAAAATGATAAGTCCTGGTCAGTAATTAAAATGTTGCTTTTTCTGCCACTAATGAATGAAAATCTTTGTAGTAAAATTAGAGATAGAGCACTGATCATTCTGGGAGCTCATTCATCACTTCAGCTGAAAACTTGGGATAGTACCGTGCAAAGAAAGTGTAAGAGCAACATATACTTCTCAAGGCCTTTGAATTTTTATTTCTTTAGCCAGTTTTGAGGGAACTCAAAGTCCTGCCACAAGCAGCAGGGTTCAATTAAGGTCTCCAGTAGAACCCAGGGCAGGCTCTGGAAAGAGCATGGGTCACGCTGCTTCCATCCCCAGCCAGCCAGTTTCCCGGGAGCACAGGCTTCAGGGACAGCACTTCCGGACAGCAGGGACTCGGGAAACATCTGTCACTGGCCCGTGCCTGCGGGACTAAGCACACCTCAGACGTGCCTTTCCCCTGCAGCCCGTAGAAACGCCTGTGCATCGTCCAGCTCTCCCGAGGGAGGCTTCGGGAAATGAGGTTCAGCCTCATCACAGGTCAGGCGGGCAGGAGGCTCCGGAGAGTGAAGTATTTTCCAAAGCCGCATAGCCGGTCAGTGCCAGGCCAGGGTCCTCACATTCTCTGCACAACACCCGGTTCCGTGGGCCCTGGGGACTCAGAGGTCAGTGGTAACTGAGAGGGAGTGTGGTCTCGTGGTGCGTCCCCTGCATCACACCCTGCCTTCTCACTCCATGCCCTCTCTGTCCACTTACGGCTTTCCCAGTCCAGGGTTCACTCAGTGCTTCTCGCTTTTCACAGAGCCAAAGGCAAAGGTTTTATCACTATAGGGGCCATTCGCTTTTTCCCTGGTACTGTTGCTAAAATACAGTCATGTATCAAAGAAAAGATTAGACGAGATGAAATCTGTCTCCAAGGACTGAAGCACCGTAACGCATCGCCGTGTCATCTTCCTAAGTGGGGACGACTCAGCCAGGCACACAGTCGATGCATGCCAGTGGCACCAGTTGCAACTCCATGGTTGGCTCTGTGAGGCAGAGCTGGGACCAAATAAAACACTTAGATCCAGCCTTGCAGGAAAAGTATTAGAGGGTGAAGTCGAGACCCTAGGAGTGAGGGTTAACAACCTGCCTACCTTCCAGCAACCCATAGACACCAGCAGTAAGGTCCAGAAATCTCTGAACAAGGTAAATAAGTCTTCATTCCAGTACTATATTAGTTTGAATAAAATGGCACTTACACAATTATGTATGTAAATATTTGGTAGAAAATGTTGAAAAATGTTTATAATTCTTTTACGTAGGAGGATAATAAATTTTATCAACTGGAATTAGTCAATCGAGAAACTAACTTCAACAAAGTGTTTAACTCGAGTCCTACTGTTGGTGTTATTAATCCACTGACCAAGGTATGTGTTGTAGACACTATAAAATAGGGATTCGATTTAAAACTGGGTAAATTATTTGAAGCCATATAGGATAAAGCTCCCAAAATATTTTTAACTCTCTAGCAATAAAATTTTTGAGTTATGTGTTTGTTTTCATAATGAGATTAATTTCATTTACTGGTAATATGTATGCCTTAAATATTACTACTGTAAAACCCTGGTTCTTTTGTTTTTCATATTCCTAAAGAAGCTGAACTTCTAAGGCCAAGGATTTAGCTCAGTGGCACCAAGGCTGCCTCACAAGCACAAGGTCCTGAGTTCGATCCCTGGCACCAAAAACCAAAAAAGGAAGCTAAACTTCTAACTCTCCCTTAGTTGATTTCTTGTCATTTGCTTGCCAATTCCAGTCCTCTGGGGTCAGAAAGTCTCCAGCCCAGATGCCCAGCAGCAGTCCCTAGCTGCAGGCCATCGTCCTGTTAGAACAAAGTGGAGAGACACATGTTGTGTTGCCCGGCAGTGTTGAGAAAGGGCTAGCCTTCTCAGGCTGACATTTGCAATTAAATACAGCTTACTGTGACACTCCCTGACTCTCCTGGGACTAACAGCAGAGCCTTGGAATGGGTGTGGTTAATCTTACACATTTCTTTACCCCATCTTCCCACTGATGCTGCTACTGCTGTGGGTAGAGTGGGTATTCAGTAAATATTGATTTAACTGCAAAATTTCATCCCAGTTTGTTTAAGTCAACACAGATTTTTCTGTCAACAAAGCAAGTAATGAGTAAATAATTGTATACAGTGGCTTCACAGCGATGATGAATCTTTTGGAAGAAATCAATAGTAGAATAAATAAAAGTGCCAGCACTAAAGTTGATTTTAAATTGGGATTTATTATCACATCATTACCCAGAACTTTGGCTTCCCAAGTTCATGAAACTCTAAAAGAACACTGAATCTATGCTTCCTTCCCAAGTTACAGTGCTTCAAAGTTTGAACTTGAATGTTTTATAAAAGATGTTAGTAAAGAATGATGAACAGAGATGCAGGCTCCTGTACCTGTAGACCCAGCACCCTGCTTGTCACACAGAAAGCTCTCCGTAAATAATGGATGAGAATGGAGTTCACTTTCGCTTTTAAATTGACAATGTAAAGTGACATAAACTTGTGATTATAAAGCAAGATTATGAGACTTGGGAAAATAAAATATATTAGAAATAATTTTTATTTTTTTGGAATTAAATTTTTCTGCTGTAAAACCATTACTGTAGAACTTGACCAATGACACTTTTGCGTTCTTAAATAGAAAACTTAAGTGAGTTGAATTCTGAGCTCTGGTGACTAGGATAGGAACTGACACATGCAGCAGCTTTGAGCATGTCCCAGCCACTCCTGCTCCTCCTGGGGGCCGCGGTCCTCACACACAGCTCTGAGGAAAGCTCTCTTCCCTTCTGTCGCCAGAGAGGCTAAAGTAGGGTCCTGGTCAGGGACTGTGAATCACGATGGGACACAGAGGAAAATGTCTAGATAGTATTTGTGTGTCAAAGAAAAGTGCTGTCTTCCGTATTCATGGAATTTTTTAAACTGCAGTTATTTTGCAAAAAAACCCATAAATGTATTAGCATATATATAATTACCAAAATGTGAGAATATTCTACATTATGAATGACATTAATTTTTACTGTGCATAACAAGGTGTGATGCTCATTGATTCTAGAGGTAGAAATAATTTGAGATTAAAATCAGTGATTTGCAAATTGATAGATTTTGACCATCTGCGCTTGTATTCCTTATCTGTTAATTTTAAAGACTTAAAACATTTTTTAAATGTTTGATAACTTTTGTTTTATATCCTTTAACTTTTTAAAGTGAGCCAATTGGGCTGGGGATTTAGCTCAGTGGTTTCGCCACCTGCTGTGCAAGCATCAAGGACCCGAGTTTGATCCCCGGTACAAAACAAAACAAAACAATAAAGTGAGCCAATTGATAGTGTCAGTTAACTGATAGTGAGACTTAATCATACAGATTTAATTTTCTCTATTCAGAAAGATGTTACAGAGGAAAGATTAAATTATTTCTCTAGGTCAGCTTCAGGTCTAAAGTACAAATGTGAGACTGTCTCAAACTACATTGCCACGCATTTTCTCATTCCTTTTTTTCTAGGCAAGAACGGCCTCCCTCTGACAGATGACTAAAGTTCACTGACCTCTCTTAACATCCTGATTAAATTTCCTCCTCCTCCTCCTAATTGTAGCCTGTGTCAGTTTAACCTGGTGCTATCTGCAAGACCACCTCTTGCCCCTCTGCCCCTGGTCCTCCCGGGTTCTCTTTGCCCCTTGGAACTCCTGTCGCCTGTCTCCTCCCTTAATGTCACAGTGAGAGGCTCATAGGGGACTTCAGAGTGAAGCTCTCTCAGTGCCTCTCCTCACTCTTCTGGTGCGGGACCGTGTCTGTCATGGAGGAGTCCATGTAGATGACACCGCCAATGATCCTGATCCCCAGACCACACATTGGGGAATGCTGGTTAATTTAACACAAAGCTTCCAAAATTTCCCCAGGCCACATTTGCATCTCTACTATTCCTGTTTTCTCATTTGACATTTTGCAGCAACTGTCCTCACATATATTATTTTTAATGCAGCAAAAGAAGAAGAATGATAAATCACCAACAAACAGGTTTGTGAGTGTTCCCAACCTAAGTGCTCTGGAATCTGGTGGAGTGGGCAATGGACATCCTAACCGCCTGGACCCCATTCCTAATTCTCCAGTCCACGATGTTGAGTTCAACAGCAGCAAACCACTTCCACAGCCAGTGCCACCCAAAGAGTCCAAGACATTTTTGAGGTGAGCCCCGTCTCACCAATGGTTTCTTTTTTTTCTTTTCTAACTTTAGAAATTGCTCTTTTTACATTGTAGATATCCACTATTTTAATAGCAACCTAAGAAACATTAATGTGCAGTATTTTCAGAATATTTTTATCATCATCTGGTTCTCTCTAGAACTCCCTTTTGAGTGTTTAAAAATTTTTATAATTTTTTATCACCAGTTTTGTAAATGTTGAAAGATCTGTCCGTGAAATTCATATGCTTAAATTTCAATATTTGTGGACAGTTTGATACATTGTCAGTCTTGTCACCAATTTTTCACTAATAATCCATCCTTATTAAAGAACTTTAAGTTTTTACTTATTTTTCTCTTGTTATATAATTTTTCCTTTTTTGCCAGTCATTAATAAATATATACATATGCTTATTGTCAAAATAAAAAGTTTGTAAGTTAGGGGAACTTAATGGTATATGTAAACAAAAAAAACCCTGAAAAAATAAGCTTTAAAATTGACATTCCACTTTTAAGTCATTGCCAAGTTACTGATCACATGTATTTACAAGTAAATTTTGAGTGTGTGTGTTTGTTGTTGTTGTTGTTTTTTTGTACCGGGGATCGAACTTGGGACCTTGCGCTTGCCAGGCTGGCGCCAGAACTACTGAGCTAAATCCCCGGCCCCTTAAAAGTAAATTTTGAGTGAAATGCAGTTAACCATAAGATAAAGTCAAAAAGTACTGTTTTTTATGTTTTATGCTCACCTCAATAACACTGATTTTTTTTTTTTGCTGCTTTTTATTATTTTTACTAAAGCTCAGCAGATAATGAGTATTATAAACAGAGAAGTTTTTTGCTTTGTGTCGGGCCAAGTGACTCATGACGTAGTTAGTGAGAAAACAGCACGATTGACAAGTGGTCCCCCGCGTCTGAGACGCTCCCGCTAAATCCTCTGCTGCTTGTTTCCCCCCGCATGGGTCCATTCAGGTTTCAGTAAGGTGCATGTGCATGAGCCCAAGGAGCAGACGCGGGAGTTTCCGGTACATGTTGGTGCCTTGTAATTGCCCGAGGCCGTAGGGATTCTTTTGTTTTCTCAAGTAGCTCAAAGACTCTGTAGTTGGAATTAAGAGAAGTATAAATTGTGTAACTTTGAAGTTAGAAGGGAAACTGGGTGTTTAATGCACTCCTTTTCTTGGCGTGTCTGCTTATGGGACTATGAAATGAACATTTAATATGCATATGCAGATAGTAAAGAATAGTGTAACTTGATTTAGTTACTTAATTTATATTTAAGGATATATTTGTAAGAACAAGTACTTACATCAGATTCTAAAATTTCAACTACACTGGGACAGGTGTTGAGGAATTCCCACAGTTCCTTCCGAACTGTTCCATCTGAAGAAGGTGGCAGGATCCTCTCGGTTGGCTTGTCGGTTGTGCCGTGCGTGGGGATCCTCCTGTGCTGCTGCTGCGGCTGCTCACCTCACCTCCGGCTGTGCTGGGCTCCTGCTCTCCTGCAGTGGAGCCGCGGTCTAAAGGGCCTCCCTTGTGGGCCGCCAGCTGTGGCGGGCTGCACTGTTGGCTGTGCTTGGCCCTCTAGTGTTCAGACCGCGTCATGCGGGGTTACTGTCTCTGTGCATTCAGTCCTCCTCAGGGTGAAGCTTCTCCGGCGGCTTCTCCAGACACCCAGCGCCAGGAGTGGTTTGCCCGCTACTTCACCTTCTGAAGGAGCTGTGCTGGCCCTGCTGTGTGCTCTCCTCTGAGGGCATCGGCAGGCTGTCCTGCGTCAGGCGCTGTGAACGACTTGGAATACTTATGTCTCTCTGGCTTGGATGAACGCACTGTATTTCCTGTGATATTTATTGGAATCACTCTATAAGGTACTATATTATGAGTGTAATTATAAGTTATTTTTATTTGAGATGGAAGAGCCTTTAACCTTTATAATTCCTACATAATAAATTTTGTTAAAACAACAATGCTTTTGATTTTATTAGTTTGCTTTAATTTTTAAATGCTTTTTAATTCCATGTGAGGCTTGCCAGCAGAAGTTTTACCGCATTAATAATCAAGTGATATCAAATTATTTGACTTCAGTAATCATAATAAAATCAGGATAGGTAAATACGTTATCGTCCATTATCATGCATAACTTAAATGCTCTAAATATACAATGCTAGAATAAAAGCACTTGTGTAAATTGTGGACTTTGAAGTATATAAAAAAACTGTTAACTTGTGGGTTTTTGGTCTTTTTATTCTGGTAGTTGAGATCTAGAACTTCTAGTACAGTTAGTAGCTGTGATTAATATTGTCCTTTATGGCCAGAAGTGACTGTGTAAAGAGAGAGTTGAGTCTATTTTAACTTGCCTTAAAGCCAGTTAGTTGGTTTTCTCAGCAGTAGGCAATTTAGTATGGATACATGGACGTCCACCCTCAGATTTTAAGAGGACTGTCATTTCCTACAGACTTGACTCATTCTGGCACTACTGTATTGATTCTGTGCCCAGAAGGCAGCACACCAAGTCTAGCTGATTGAGCAATGTGAATTTTAGAATCTAAGTGAACTAAATAAATGCAGATAATATGATGTACGTTCTTCCAACTGTTTTTCCCCTTCAACTAAAAGATTAAATTTCCCAAGAAAAATAATTAAGCTTATTTCACACGAGATCAGGCGGTTCAGGATGGTATGGCCGTAAACGCGTTAAGCTAATTCAGAAAGTAATTCTTGCCCCTAGTTGCGTATACCTTGTAATTTGGACAGTTTGCGCCAAGGTCAGTGCTCGTGTCAGAGACGGGCACAGAGAAAGCTTGGGCTCTGTCCTCGGAGCTGCCGAGTGCAGATCCTGGCCTTGTCCAGTATCAGAAGCACTCCCAGGAGGGGCATGGAGGGTACAGTGGGCAGAGACGGGGACAGTCCATCAGTGGTGCAGTGGGGTCTGCACGTGGAGGCTGTGTCCACGCACGGTGCTGGCAGCGAGGAAGAGTTAAGGAGACAGGCAGGGAGGGGCCTGCCCCAGTGCCCGCTGAGGCAAGACCAGGAACAGGCGCCCACCTCGACCCACGTGCGGCCTGCTGGGCCTCTGGGGAGGGCGCCTGTCGGGCCAGAGAAGGAGCGGAATCTGAGAGCAGCGGTTTCTTGGGCCCCTACCTCGTGTCAGACACTTCACTGTTCCATTTCTAACCCGGCAGTACCTTCGATGGAGACACCAGAACACCCACCACACAATCCCAGCCTCTGCGACTGGTAAAGCTTGCAACCTGTGCTCTTCCCATTATGCCGTGAAAGGACAGGAACCCTTAGTGAGGAAATGAACCTGATTCTTCACCATGTTTAGCAGGTCATACAATGATGAGATTTCGGTTGTAGGAAGTTGGCTGCAGTTGGTTCAGAAGAGATGGATGGGAACTGACTACAGCAAGACTTGGAGTGCCTGACTGAGTTGGTTCAGATGAAGACTAAACTGAAAAGACGTCTGTGGGAATGGAGACGAAAGAGTAGTATGGAGACAGAACTGCTGGGAGCTGGTGACAAATACATGGAACACAAAGGGCAGACATGGACAAGGGTGAAGTTTCAGTTCAGAAACGCTGGAATTAAAGTTTCTCTGTAATAATTAATAGGCCTCTAAACAAGGAGCCAGAGCTCAGAAAACTGTCTGAGCTGGAGCTGTTGAGGGAGACGTTGGCCTTTAAGTCATTCAGGACTTGCATGAGAATGGAAGGCAGTGACAGCTGCAGAAAAGCAGAGTACTGGAAGAACAAAGTGTCACAGACAGACAGAGACTCAGAGACAGACAGACAAGAGACAGAGGCAGGCAGGCACCACAGGTATAAAGATGTGGAAAAAATGAACCAGAAAATAATCTTCGCAAGAACAGATCCAGGGCAGCAGTAGCACCAAAAGCCAGACTCCAGGAGAGAGGCAAAGGGGAGCTGAGGACACCAGGACAGTGGTGAAAACCATCTTGAAGGAAGCAGCTATCCTGGGAGCCAGGAGAGGTAAGATGGGGTTTGCTTCTCTTTGCAGAAGACCTTATCCTGCTGTCATTTTGTGGAATGGGGCTTTAACGGACAGGAGAGAGGATGGAAAGGACGAATCGTATAACAACCTCCACCTGGCACTGAGCTCTATTAATAGAGCTAAGGGCTAGTCAAAGAAATGTGTAATGGTTCATATTGGATGGAAGGGGAAACAAAGACTTAGCAAGACACTTAATTTTATACAATATAAAAACCAACCTGGATACCTAAACTCTTAGGGTTAGCAGAGATCTTAAAGTCTTCCAGAGAAAGCTTTAATACTTGCAGTGAGAGGAACGTACCTCTGAGGTGTCCTAGCCCTAGCTCTGCCACCCACAGCCAGTGCCTTGGCACCTATGACTCAGCTCCCCAGGCCACATAAGAAAATGATACCTCTGTCCACCTCCTAAAAGGTCACATGGGACAGTTGATGAAAGGGCCCAGGAAGACACAGTGCCACAGGGGAGGAAATAGTGGTCCTCAAAAATAAAAGAGTACACTAGAAAAGTGTACATGTGATTGTCAGACAGTAATTGAAGTCAGAACTACATGTTTGTATTTAACCCTATCAGCATGGCTGTGGTTTTTGGCCATCCTTGGGTTCTCAGTAAAAAGTTGCTAAGAGTGTCTAGTTGGACTTCATTGGGATTAGAAAGCTGTTCAGTAACACACAAGAACAGGGCAGAAGAGCAAGGGATTTGCAGGGAAACCATGGTGTTTATCATTACTAACATCCTTGTTATGCTAGGATTTTAGCAGTAGCTGAACAATGGACAGATCCATTAGTTGTTACACCTTAAATGTCGGACTGAGTTGTACACATAGGTCCAGATGTTTCATCCTTACCTCATTCTGTCACTTCCTTCGTGACCAGTTATATGTAGGTATTACTAAAACTCGTTAACATCCTATCATAGTGGGCCGGGGATTTAGCTCAGTGGTTTCGCCGCCTACTGTGCAAGCGCAAGGGCCCAAGTTCGATCCCCAGTACCAAAAAACCCACAAAAAACAAAAAACAAAAACATCCTATCATAGAACACTTACTTTCATCTTCCTCCAATAGGAAGTTTCTGACTTGTGGCTTTATGCAGATTCTGAATCTGGGGGAAGAGCCAGGCCTGAGGGAAGACCTGCCGGGAATGTCTTCTGTGCTTGGGGCCTCTGGAGCAGAAGGGGCTTCTGGAACAGCTGATCCCTGGGGCTGATTCAGTGAGAGCACTGACAGCTGGGGTGAAGGGGGAAGAGCTCAGTACGTGCGCTCATCACTTGGGGCCCCTGACCAAATGCCAAAGTTTGTCAAAAAGCAATACAAATTAGCTTTCCAGAAGGATATCCCAAACAGGTTTCTTAGTTAAGTATTCACATTTGATGCTAAAAGCATATGCAAATATTTTGGGAGTGTATCTTGCTGTGGCCTGAGCTAAAACTTATTCATAAACATTCTCTTAAAACATTAGTTCAAGCCGGGGCATAGAGGTGCACACCTGTAATCCCAGCACTTGGGAGGCTGAGGCAGGAGGATCGCCATGAATTTGAGGCCAGCCTGGGCTACATAGTGAGCTCAAGGTCAGCCTGAATTATATATCAAGACCCTGTTTCAAAAAAAACCCCAAAAATAAATTTAAAAAACTTTAGCTTATGTCCATGTCAGTGAAATAAAAAACATGGTCTACCTTTCTAACCAACAACAACAACATAACTTGCGACGTAGTCTTTGCAAATGATGTGCATAACTTTTTCATGTTATGACACGTGTTCCAACATTCTGTCACATGATACAGCTGTGATAATGAATTATATCATATCATCTTCTTTTGAGAATTACTAAGTATTAACCACCTCTGGTATCAGGGACTTAGCCAGGCCCCCAATCGCTGGGGCCAGGGTAAGATGAAAGGATAAAAGAGACAGAAACAATAATGGAGAATGCAAAGGGGTGTGGAGGGTCAGAGCTCGTACAAGACTGAGACCCCAACTCTCTGAACGCGCCACTGTTTACTGAACACGCAGCTTCCTGAAGGGTGGTGCAGGGAAAGCAGAGTGGACACAGCAGGGTCCAGGCAACAAGGGAACGAGACATTCCAGCAGGAACAGATCATCGATTAATGGGGAATCTGTTTCTTCCCACAGATTGGTTTTTGCTTCTATAGAAGTCTCGTGTGCGAGTCATGCTGCCCTTAGCTGCGCTCCTGTCCTGCCATCCAAGACGTCACAGCGTGCAGGATCATTGAGGCCTCCGCTGTGACCAGGGCTGGGCAGTTGATCCTTTCCCACACACCAACTGCTGGCTCTTCGGGCACGCCACTGGGGACCAATAGGCAGACTCGGACTTTTAGTATGAAAAGCCAGCTTATGAATCTGCAGCTCGCTCAGGGTGGTCTCCATCTCTCGGATAATCCCAGGAATATATTATCTATCTTATTTTCTGAATGTAGTTTAATTTTTTTTTTTTTTTTTTTTGGTGCCAGGGATCAAGCTCAGGACCTTGCGCTTGTGAGGCAGGCGCGGTACCACTGAGTTAAATCCCCAGCCCTAATTTTAATAATATAATTTTAATGTACTTTCAGTAGCAGTGAAAAACTGTTTAAGATAGAATACAGACCAAATTGCATACAGTGGTGCACACCTGTAATCCCAGCACTCAGGAGGCTGAGGCAGGAGGACATGAGTTCAAGGCCAGGCTGGGCTGCATAGCTAGTTCAAGGCCAGCCTAGAGTTCATACCGAGACCCCGTCTCAACTCTTCTCCTCTGCAGAAAGAGAACAGACCACCCAGAAACAGACTCTCCCATATCTGTCAAATGATTTTCAAGAAGGGTGACCACACCATTTAGCCGGGAAAGGATAATCTTTAACAAATGGTGCTTGGTCAACTGGATAGACACATGCAGAAGAATGAAGCTGGACCCATACCTTACACTCTACACAAAAGTCAATTCAGAATGGATCAAAGATCTGAATGTAATAGCTAAAATGATCAAGTTCTTAGAAGAAAAAAATGAGATAAAACCTTTATGATGTTGGATATGATACCAGAAGCACCGACAACAAAAAGATTAATAAATTGTAGTTCATAAAAACTTAAAACTTCTGTGTATCAAAGGACACTGTCAGCAGGGTGAAAAAGACGACCCAGAAAATGGGAGAAAATATTTGCAAAGCATATATGTGATAAAGGATTAACACCCAGAACATAAAAGAATTTCTAAAAGTTAGCAACAATAGAAAGCCAATTCAAAAGAGGGCAAAGGACTTGAATAATTTCTGCAAAGAAGACCTACAGATGGCCACTAAGTCAATGAAAAGATGTCTGTGAAGAGAAGTTTGGTGTCACCAGTTACTCAGGAAATGGAGTCAAACCACAATGAAACAGTACACACCACACCCATTCCAATAGCTTTTGTTTCTAAAAATGAAAAGCATTGGCAAGGATGAGAAATCAGTGCATTGCTAGTACAAATGTGAAATGGCAAAGCCCCTGTGGAAAAGTCTGGCAGTTCTTCAAAAAGCCAAGCATAGAATTACCATCTGATCAAGCATTTTCACTTCTTTGTATACGTATATGCTCAGTAGAATACACAGCAGAGACTCAGCACTTCTTTCTTTTACATCAGTGGCCTCAGGAGTATTATTCACAATAACCAAAAGACAAGCTGGGCATGGTGGCACAGGCCTATAATCCCAGCACTTGGGAGGCTGAGGCAGGAGGATCACTGCAAGTTTAAGGCCAGCCTGGGCTAAACAGTAAATTCAAGTCCAGCCACAACTACATAGCAAGACCCTGTCTAAAAAAGCAAACCCCCAAGAGGTGGAAACACAAATGTCTTATTGACAGTTGAATGGATAAGCAAAATGTGACGTATACATACAATAGAACATTACTGAGCCTTCAAAAAGTGACTACTGGAAGGGTGCACAGGCAATGGGGAAAAAATAAGAACCAAGATACATCATATACAGGACAAGCACCCAATGATAAATGTAAACGTGTTGTATACCTAAAATGTACCAATAAAAGAATTTAAGCAAAAAAATAATTTAAAGACTATTGTGAGTTATGTATAAGTCCAGAGTTTCATAGATATGACAAGGATTTTTTTTAATAGTTTGCTTTATATAACAAGAATAGCCTTGACACTGTGACAGGACAAACTGGACAAAAAAATATTACTATGGATCAAAAAAAAAAGTGAATAATTGCTACAACACGGACGGTAAACCGTTGTGTTAAGCTAGGGAAAATCAGGCCACGGGACAACTTGTCTGATTCCATGTGAGATGTCTAGAACAGGCAAACTCATAAAGGCAGGAAGTAGAATGGAGCTTAGTAGGGGCTGGGGACTGGGTACAGGGGAATTACTGTTTGGGGCACAGAGTTTCTGTGTGGGATTAAAAGTAAATTCTGTGGCTAGATAACTGATGTGTGCATGGCACTGTCAGTGAACTTAGAGGTGCTGAGTTGTGTACTTAAAATGGTTTCAGTGGCAACTCTTCTGTGTGTTACTGCCTATCACGGCAGCAAAGGACTAAGCGGTGGCCGCTGTCCTGGTGTCACTGTATTGTGTTGTTTTTTTGGTTTTTTTTTTAAGTACAAAACTATGTGTTGTTTTATTTGTAGATGCAGAATATTATAAATATCTGCAGCAAGCCCATGAAGTATTTCTATTGTCCATACTGATATTTCAGTATTAAATATATACAAATGTTTCAATTAAACAAAACCAAGGTAGTCACAACAAGCTGCAGAGAAACATGCAATGAAGGCTGAAATTTATAAATTAAAAATACCATCTATACATAATGTGCAGTCATGCATTTAGAAATGAATATTGCATGTCTCAAGAGTAAATTTTCACAGGCAAATGCTGCTCCAAAAATGTTTGCTAATGCAAAGGAATGGGATTTTAGTACATTCTGCATTAATATTTTAACCCAAGAAGTTGAAATTTGGTATTTTTTTCTTCCAAGCTGTCTAAAAATCTACAGGAGTAAAATCCCAAATTTTTTGCATCTCATTTGAAGTGTTTTACCAGGAACACATTTTCCAAACCTCAAGTAAAATAAATATGAATAATGAGCAAAACCCACATATGAACATGTTTATCAGTTCAGCAAAATTCAAATAAAAAATGTGAATTTCACTTTAAGTTATTTTGTATTACACACTTCACCAAAATAGAGTATGAAATCAAATGTATGCTTGTTTCTACTTTTGGTTTCAATTTCAGTCAGACATTTAAATTTCATGAAAAACTACGCATGGCAGCCAAGAAAATATGGTGGGAAAAAAATCTTACCTAATGAAATTTAAAAACTGCACCTACATAATAAAATCATTACTCTTCCAGTGTGAAATGTTACCAACTTTGCAAACAGTTTTCTCTTTAAAATTCTGCAATATATCAGAGTATGTTTTATTAATCAAGAAATATAGTGATGTTTTAAAATCTTCCAATTTTCTCTTAAGATACTAACTAGTATTTTCATGGGCTGGTGATCTCCAACGTGACTGTAGTTTTCTTTTTTATAGAGTTTTCCGTAGTACCAAGTTTCTTGTGCATTTCAAATAGCTGGCTTCCTGAATAATTATGAAGATCTTCTGAATTCAACTGAAGAGCAAGAGCACTAATTTGTGCCAAGAGATTTTTAGATAATGGAGTTTATCTAAAGCAACAGGATTAATCAAATCTGAGACAAGCCTTTCTTCATCAGCTGACTTATTTTCCATTCTATTTAGTGTTTTCTCAGAAATATCAAAAACTAGAATTTCTTCAAGTCCATGAGACTTCATCTGCTGTTCGCAGTATATTCTGAGAGCCTTTACATTAGACACTTTTGGAGAACGAATAGGATGAGTTTTTATTTCTGATGCTGTAAGAGTACTCAAATCCCCAATAGTTTTTATATTCTTGGCTCTGATAAGTTGTCCTAGACCTCTTGCCCACATGTTTGATGTAATGCGAGGTAAAATGATGTCGACTGGTGCTGCACAATTCATCAAAGCTGGGTAAACACTTTCTGTGGGGCATGGCATGGATTCTTTGGTCATTTCTGTAAGCTTAGAATAAATTTCAAAAGCTGTTAAATAAGAGGTCACCTGACTAAACATAAAAAATATGCAACGCTTCACGAATTTTGCATGTCATCCTTGGCGCAGGGGCCATGCTAATCTTCTCTGTATCGTTCCAATTTTAGTATATGTGCTGCCGAAGTGAGCACTGTATTGTATTGCTAATAGCTACGTTTACAAATTATATACAGGAAGCTCTTGTTTCGGTCCATCACTTTTTCTTTTTTCTTCGTGCCATTATCTATAAAAACATTCTGCTATCTGGTACCTCAGCATAGGCTTCAGTCTCGGGGTCTGAACAGCGGGTGCTCAGGCTTCCGTCAGAAAGACGCTAGGCAGTGTCCTAAAAAGGTTACCTCTTAGGCTGCAGCAGGGGTCACAAGTCTGAGACCACCTTGGGCAACTCAGTGACTTAAAAAAGTAAGAGAAGGGCTGGTGACCTGAGGCTGTCGCTCAGGTCAAGAGGCCTGAAAAAAATTACCTGAGATGCTGGGGAACTGCATGTATGATCGACTGGAGGGGTCTACTGTAGTGTTAGCAAGCCATTTACCTCATCTGAGACCTGAGTTTGTGCCCACATACCCTTCTGCTGTCACCTGTTGAGCTCCTGTCACATTACTCTGATTGCTTTTCCCATGCCCTCACACTGAACTAGACATGCCTTCCTAGGTGCACCACAGCACCTACACAGTTCTACAACTATTCATTTACTCACCAAATATTTATTGTGAGACATTATTTAAGGTGGTTGGAACAAATATGCCTGTACTCCTGGAGCTTGACTGGAAACAGTGGGGCCAAACAATAAACACAATACACTGAACGCTGGAAAGTGCTAAGCACTATGGACGAAAACAAGAATGGTAGCATGGGAGAGGGTGGGAGTGCAGGGCCAAGGAGATATGGCACGGCACAGTAGTTAGTAAGTAGAAAGTACCATGCCTGACTCGTAGCTTACTGGAGGAATTAAATGAAGTGCGATTCTATTTTTAAGAATCTGGTACTGTGTATGTGAGTCCATAACTCACACTTACGTGGTTTTACATGTAGATGTACTTCTTAAAATTCTAAATTCATTGCCAGTTTATATTCAGTATATTATACATATCCCCCCATATAAATAAAATTCACACTTTTCTACTTCATTGAAAAATGTTTAGGAGCAACTCCATGTAAAACAGACAATAAAACTGTATATTCTTTAATCCTCATTAGTGGTAGAAAGTTAGCATTAACTGAAAGAAGAACCAAAGTATGTAAGTGAAGTCCAGCATAATCGAGCTCCAGCGTCAGTGTTTGCCCTGTGTGTCTCTGAGCTCGGGGGAAAGGTGCACGATTACACAGTCGTATCATCAGAAAAGAGGAAGAATTCCTGAAGGAAAAAAGGCTTCCCTACCCAGAATTCTGAAAGGAACTTGCCATGGAGAGCTTTATTACAGGACTCAATCTAGTGAAGTCATCATTGACATTCTCAATTATTTTTACAGTAACTTGGGAACTGCACAAAGCTGATTTCTTGAAGTACCCCTTTGATAAAAGGGGAAACTACAGCACTTAGGAATTACTCTATGTAAAAAAAAATCTTTAAAAGAAAAGCCAGAATCCTAAGGAGTAGTTGTCTGGTGGTGTTACTTGATCAAGAGAACCGTGGGCCAGGGATTTAGCTCAGTGGCACTGTGCCGGCCTCGAAAGGAAGTGCAAGGTCCTGAGTTCGATCCCCCGCACTGCAAAAAAAAAAAAAGAGAGAGAACTGAGAGTGAAGGAGTGAAATGTCCTGGGATATCCTTCAGGAACACTTCCCTAAGCTAGGTCCTGGCTAACAGGAAGAGGTTACAATCTGAGGAGGCATTAACGGTGCAACACAGTATGCTGCTGTCTGGTATGTGTGGGGATGCAGCCATATGGCCTGGGAAGGCAGGACCGGCGTCAAACTGGAATCCTAGGTATCTGCCATCTCCTCTGACCACGTCAATGCAAGGAACATGAAAGTTTTCCTAAGAAAGCTTCTAACTGAATCCATTTCAGTTTTAGAAATCACCCTTGACTGGATCTTCAGAGTTCCACATCCTAAAGACAGCTGAAATAATTCTGACTGAAACACTTTCAAAGCAGCTGTTCCTATCACCCACCGTGACCCCAGCCTCAGTTACACATGCTGAATGCCCCTCGGCATGTGGCTCAGCTGCAGAATGTTCCTCCAGAAAAGTAAACCTCAACTTGCTGTGTGGCAGTGTTGTAAGCCATTTACATAAGTGGAAAAGTCACTGATTTTACCTTTTATTTAATAACCATTGAGTAATGACTTAGATTATGTTAGGGTTTGTAGAATACATCTTTAACTTACCATATCCTATCTTCAAGTGATATTAGTATACTTATTTCACCAGCTGCTGATGAAAATGTATTTGTCTTAATGTTGAGCTGCCTTCTCCTACCAATAGTTTAAAAATAGGATCATAATGAATGTTTCTAAAAACACTATCAGCAAATAAGGGAAATTCATCCTGCTACCCGCTGGGACTGATGCCTGTGTCACATCTGCTATCCATCCAGAAGAGCAGTCCAGCAAAGAGAAGAGGCTGGAAAGGTCCACTGATGAGGTCTCCTCTGTGGTCTACTCAGCTTCAGGTGTTTCGTGGATGTGGCAAGGGTAGTCCCAGGGCCAGTGCTGGGTGAGTGAAAAGGCCGTACAAAGCCCCAGGGATCTACACCCAGCTAGTGCGTTGTGACACTTTTATCTTCAGTTGCCCATGGTCAGCTGTGACCTGAAAATACTAAGTGGCAAATTCCAGAAAGAATTCAGCAGTTTCTCACTGCCCACCCTTCTGAGTACCACGATGAAATTTCATGCCATCCTGCTTTGTCCCCGAGTGAACTGTCTGGCACAGCCATGCTGTGCCACCTGCCTGCAAGTCACCAGGTAGCCACCTTGGTTATCAGATCAGCTGTCATGGTGTAGCATCCTGG